ATCGGAAAGTCGATTATACACATAGCGATGCTATCACCGTCCATGGTACTAGAGAATAGTCTGACGAATGCGAATTCATAGGAAGTACAAAGTAAAATGAAAACAAATGTCAAAGCCATCAAACGACGAGCAATGTGTGTCTTTTTAAATCATTGTCCATTCAAGAATATTACCGTGTAAACACGTTCAAGTGCAATGAATGAAGCACACCAATAAACCATTCGAGTAAAGAAAATAAGGAAATAGTTGAACAACTTACAAAGAACATGATTAATCATAGAGAACGGTTGAGGATTAGTAATAATGACAGACAAATGAGTAAGACGTGCAGTGACAAAACCCAAGATTGATTTGATTGATTAAACTCATGTAAAATAAATAGTGTCCAGTGCCTGTGTAAAGACATGATTGCCGTTGAAGTGTGAAAAATGAGAAACGATTATTTAGTAAACCGATAAAGAAACCCAGAACAGAACAAATAATGATTACATTCATTGTTGTATGTGTGTGACTAGAAGTCAAATCAACATAAAACAATTGATCAAGAGTAGCAGTTAATGATTTCGTATTGAATTGACAATTACTACCTGAATAACATGGTGGACACAAAAAACTAAGTCATTTGAACGAGTATGACTTTCTTTCAAACAAAATCCATCTACAAGACAAGACGAACATCGATCAAGTGTATGATCATAGAGAAACATTCAACACGTGTGTGATTTGTGTTGCAGACACATAAATAAGAATCATCATGGAAACAGAGTAGATCAACATTCTTAATGCATATCTGATGATAACTAATTGGAGAAAGGCTTGTTACTGATAATTGAGAAATACTGGGACATCGATTTTGTTCTGTCATCATTGTTGTTTCTTCAATTGATGTTATGTTAATATGGAATGAAAGTAAATAGAAATTCGATCGAATTTGATGATAAGAAGAATAGAGTTTAGCTAAAACAAGTTCCGGAACTATTGTTACTTCATGTCCATATTTGATGAACGAAGGAACCATTGTGTTAGCTTGTTGGCGAGCAAGGATGAGGCTCAATCATCTGTAAGGGTGTGGGTGTGGGATGTGAGTGTAGATGTCGATATTGGTGTATCGATATCTTCAAGCACCCTCACACCCACACCCACACTCTCAAGATCTAACGGAACTTTAATATATGTACAGAAATTTCTAAAATAACTTATTCTTATATATGAAGTACGAATCTAGAATAAATTATTAAAAAAACTTTGATTTCCAAAATAATCTGTCAAATAATTTTGAAAAGAAGTCTTGAAGTAGGGTCTTATAGATAGTAATTCAAAGCTATAAAGGTCTTATGCTAGTCTAGTAGCCATATATATTTTTAATTCAAAATATAATGAAATTGTAGCTTTTGCGACGCGCTATCAAATGAGCAAGACCACAATTTTGGCTGCTCTAATTTTTATATTGAAATGTCCCTTGGAATGTTTAAAAGACTAGGACAATGATTCTTGTGTGTATTAAAGCTCGAAATCGAATCAAATAAGCAAGTGATTTGATTCGATTCTATTGAAATCAGCTGAATGAAGTCCAATCGAGTAGTTTCCTCTTA